ATCAAAAATATAGTAAAACTTCAAAAAGAAGTTGATGAAACAAATAGCGAATATTTTAAATTAAACAAAAAATATATCGCTCTAAAAGAAAAATATAAGTCTCCTGATAATTATTTTTTTTTTTAAAAAAAATTTATTTTTTTTTAATTAGTTTTTTATTTTTATTTTTTATGAAAATATATTTTTTTTATAAAATGTCTTTTTTTTGTTTTTTTTTATTTTTATTTTTAATAAAATTATATTTTTAAAATTTTTTTTATAAAACAAAGTTAAAAAAAATAAAATTTTGCAATTTAAGTACCAACAAAATACTTTAATAAAATAGTTCTCTTAATTTTATTTTATAATTAATCAACCCCCTAGAGTCCTCAATCTTGGAGAGCAACTGCAAAACTTTGTTTTGCAGGACATGCTGTATAGTCACCAAGGCGACTAAGTACGCTATCCTCTTAAAATCTTTGACTTGTGATAAATATAGTAACTGTATTGTAAGATTTCACAAAACACCTTATGCTTATAAATTTGTGGCTTGTAAACAAGCTACAAATTGAACGCTATTCATTTTTTGTAAAATTTTACAAGAAGTTAAAATTAAATAAAAATTTTGTAATTTAGTTTCAAAAAAATATAAAAAGAATTTATATAAATAAAAATTATTTTATTGACTAAAAAATCTTTTTAAAAAATAGAAAAAAGTACAGCAGAACAAGAAACTAGTGATATATTTAGACAACAAATAGAAGATTTGATCAAAGAAAATGAGGAATTAAAAACAAAAAATAAAAAATTATCAGAATTAAAAAAAATAAATAATGTACAAAATTTATTGTTAAGAGATGCAATTGATAAAACTGAGTTTTACAAAGCTAGAAATTTTCAAGAATTTGATGCTTTTATTTATAATTATATATTTGAATTATTTGATTGGGTTTTAAATTTATTGGATTATATCAAATTTGGAGATTATTCTTTGAAAAATATTTTTAATTTTTTAAATTTGAAAAAAAGAATTAATAATTATTATATACAAATCATTTATAAAAAATTTATTAGAGCAATTTTAGTTTTTCCTTATTTTTTTATTACAGAATATAGTGTTCGAGTTAAAATTTTAGAATTAGTATTTGTAAATATCATTACAATGTATTTTTCTTTATATTTAATTTTTTTTGTTTTAAACAAAATAAATTTAAATGATCTGATTGCAATTCTTATTATTTAATTATTTTTGCAAAAATACATTTCTTTTTTATTATCATTTGTAATAATAATATTAAAATTATTTTTTTCTTCTAAATTATTTTCTTCAATAAAGCTAAATAATTTTAAATTTAATAACTTGATTAATTTTTTTTTATCATCTTCAAATAAAATTTTATCTACATAAATTCTTTTTTTTAACTCTAAAGAGGACTCAAAATCTTTTACTAGACAAATTAATTCAATAAAACTAAAATAAGAAAATTTACTTGCACGAAAATTATATAAATTAGTTTTATATTTAAATTTTAAATTTGACTGTTCTATTAAATTAAAAATTTCTCCTGTAACTAATGAAGTTAATAATTGATAATTTTCAAATTTTGTTTTTTTAATTATATTTTTGATTTTATGGTATTCTTCAGAAAAAGATATATATTTCTATATTAATTCAGTATCTGTTTTTAAAATTTTATTTGATTCTACTTCTTTGTTATTAAAACATCTGCGGTATGCAAGAGTTTGGTTGATTAATAAAAATAAAATTAATAATTTTTGAGCCAACATTTTATTTTATTATAAAAATAGATAATACCGTATATTGCCGAAAATAAGCCATCTCTGAAAATAAGCTACCTTTCTTTTTTGGAAGAAAACGTAAAAACGTCTTAGACCCAAAAATAAGCTACTATACGATCATTAGTAGTTACTCTATAGTAAAGTCAAAATTTTACTAAGTAAATCGACAT